TTACGTTTAACGAGATCCGTACGTCACACGGTACAACACACGTCTCGTTTACGCCGTTCACGCACCCCCCCCCCCCCCCCCAAAAAAAAAAAAAAAGCTCGTCGAATCGTTATACGCGTTTTGACGCGGTCGACGCGTCAATGATCACGGGTGGAGGAGAAAAAAAAATTGACGTTTTCCATTTCTTTTTTCGACCGGTCGCGTGTTTGACAAATATTCGCTTCGGTCGATCACGAATCCGCGCGAACAGTAACATAACGCCCCGGGGCCTCGTCGATGACACAGACATGGTGCTGCTCGTAATAGTTTATTATCAATACGACACAAAGGGTACGGTTTCCGAGCAGCGACTAGCGCTATCGACTGCTCTACGAGTAAAAATGCACAACCGTGGTTTCCCACGTCCGATTGACGTGTGCGTTTCACGATTGTAGTGCTCCGGAAGCAGTGCATCGCGTGCGTCGCGTTCCGATCTTATTCCGAACGAATTGTCTACTGTCTATTTTAACAAAAAGCGAATCAATTCAATATCGATAAACGTCGAAAACTCTGTTCACTAATTTCAAGTATACATTATTTCTTCTTCTTCTTATCATTGATTTACGATTATTTTATTATTATTTATAATTATTCGTTCCATTTTTAGTTATTTGTAATGACAAATTGAAAAAAATACATGGTACACAATAAAAATAACACGCATAAAAATACGCGTGTGCACAACGAAATATCGAGCTGAACTGAACTCAAGATAAATGCCAGCCGCCAGCATTCTGGTCGTTGCGACCAGTCGCTGCGGCTAAAAGCAGATTGGAAAATGTACTTTAAGAGGGTTGCTCACCGCAGCGGATGCCGCGATGAAACCGTGAGCCGAACCGATTTCGACCAACGGATGTATTCGATTTCCTCGGAATATTATTTTTCGCATCAGTCAATTTTCGGAAACGCGCGTTCCTTCTTTATTCGGATAACACTATTGTAATTACGAAGAGTGCATATATTATTCAAAACACATACAACTAAAAACGAAATGCGTTCAAACACCGACTTCGCTGTTGTATTACTCTGTTATTCGCGCGCTAAAACGACGCACTTACATTTATTAAAAATGCGATTTTTAGAAAAATAAATTACGACGCATACTTATCGAATCAAGTTGAACAACTTAATTTGGCGATCAAAGAAAATAAATAAATAATTATAAAATAAAGGCGGCAACGTTTGACGGATAAAATCGTTCTGGATCCTAGCCGAATGTTCGTCAACAAAAAAACTCACATCCGGAGCGACCAAATGTAAAAATAATCTATTGCGATTCACGAAAAAATACTCTGAAATAACAAAAAAAAAAAAAAAAAAACTTCAAAACCAAGAACCATACGCCGAAAACTTGAAAATATTAATATACGCAAACACACAAAATTGATTAGTACTCAATTCTCGATACCTCTCGAAAAGTCAATTTATTTTGAACACAACTATTCCTCTTATTAATTCTCGACTATTATCGACATTCGCCAAACACGTTAGCTCTCTAATATTACAGTAATATTACAATAATATCGCATTAACAGTACACGAAAATCATCAACGACCTGTGCACGATTATCGAACTCATTATAGTATCGTTAATTAACGTCCGTCGCGGTTCACACAACGCGCGCGTATTTTGAATATAATCATCTGACGATTGGCAGCAGCGGCCGTATGTACACGCTCGCGCACTCAACGCGTTTCTCACGCACCACGATTCCTTCTGATGACCGCATTGATCTCAGATTAAATTCCTAATCGTCTCGTTTAATTTCTTCCGGTGGAAAATGTAACGCATTCCCAAAAGGTTTTTATTTAACCAACGGAACAATATAAAACAATATAAATCATTGGAGTAGAGATTGTAGGGAAAATATCATGTCACGGTAAATTATTCCAAATACAAAAAAGAAAATATGTTCAACGGAGATCACCGTGCAATAACTTACCTCACATTTGAACATGATAAAATTAGAGAAATGTCTGAACACTTGTTTGCATAATATTGCCAATCGAGTAACTGGTAAACGATAATAAGATCAAGTTCATTTTACACATCGAATATACTTTATCGTAACAAAATAATTATTATACGCAGCAAGAAATTGTCAACTCTAATGTCAATTGATGTTCTATAAAAAAAAAATTGCCGTCGTCGGATACGACGTGATTTATATTTTTTTCAATCAACAAACTGTGTACGGTATAATTATGAGGTTATCGAAGCGCATTTAAAGAAATATTTATAATGAGAGCGAATGAAAACATTTGCATAACATATACACATATATATATATATATATATATTATATGAAAGACTATGTAAGGAAATATTGGTATATTTATTTTATAAATTCAATATTCGCTATTAATTCATAAACATATTTTTACTCAGAAATGATGGACTAAAAATACAAAACTAATAAACGATAACATAGGCGTATTGACATTTCCATGAAATGCTTTACGCTACGATTAAAGTTCAAATTAACGTTATTGATTTATTCAACAATACAAAATATTATAATAACAAAAAACAGTCTATTCCATAGATAATATTATTCTGCTAAGAAACGTATAGATCAACTAATCGGTGAATGTCGTAAGAAACGTATGAATCATTGACGATTATTTTACACGCGTTTTGTGACTACAGTGTCAACGACCTGTGTTTCTATTGAAATGTCAACTTAAAACAGCTCTGGGTGAGGGTGAACTTTTACGATAAAATGTGATTCGGCGTCGTGGGAAAGAAAAAATGTCAAATAAATTCTCAAGCAACACGCTGCGAACAAACATTTTTATAGCACAAGAAATATGAAGAATTTCATAACTTGGCTTTTACATAATACATACATGTATATATATTTATGTTCGTATGTATGAATCTATACTTTTTAGAGGTACAACTTAAACGATAAGAAACTATACACGATTTTTTTTATATCCAGGTCTAGGCATGTATATGTATACATATACATAATTTATATATAAAATAATTCACGAGTTTGATAACGAAAAATAAATTTCATTCAACGATTCCGATTTTACAAGTTTTGTTTTATCAAGTTTACAGGGCTTCGTAAAACAAGGTTCCACGTTATCTAAAATTGAATTGTAAATGTGTTACTGCGATGGTGACCGGCACAAAAAAAAGCAAATACGCTTTTCGACTATTTCAAAAATATAAGTTGTACAGTTTTGGTAAATTTGATCCGTTTATTGATTTGGTATGTTTGAATGTGTATGAATTAAAATTGGTAAAATAACTATTTCTTTGACAATTCACATAGAAAACAGTTCAATTATTTGATAATTTATTAAAATTTAATAAAATTACATCATTAAAGTGCCAACGATTATTACTGAGGAAATTTTAATTATTTAGCATCAATATTACTAGAAAAAATTGTTTTTAGTTGAAAAAAAAAACCTTTCCTGAAACTAAAACCTGTGCCTATAAATATGCAGTGTTGATGCTTTGCAAATAATGAATCTTAATTATGCATAAATAACTAAATAGTTCCAAGAGTTTTCTATTGTAGAATACTTGTTTGTAATTATATATTTTATCCTCTGATAAAATAATTTTAGAAAGAATTCTTCCCTACTGATTTTTTTTAAAAAAAAATTTTTTATTTACCTATTTAATATATTATATGTTAATAATGTCATTGATTTTATAATTAACAGATAGCTCACGGTATAGAGGTTTTCGGATACTAAAATAATATTTATACAAACGGACGATAGGTAGCGTTGCACGAATGAACAAATAATTGTCCCCACCATGATTACAATATACTAAACGATGATTACAATAACTGACGTCCACGTTATTGGCGTGGCTTTTCAATCGAAATTTATTTTCGAATAGAACAACTAACAAGCTCACTTGTTCACTACAATACTGTATTTTGGGACTCTTCCTCTTTTTAATTAACGTAGATATCAAAAATTAATAGATAATAATTAACTTTTTTAAATAATATTCATATCAAAAGTCCGCCCGAAAAGTGTGTATCGCAGTAAAAAACCTGGTTCCTAGCTATGATGATTACTTTTCGATTTACTACAACAATATAATAAAAATATGTACATTCTGTTACGGTGTCGCAGCTAAATATTTCGATGGTACACTGTGAACGATAAATAATAGCTTTACATTGAAATTAATTTCAAATCGACCGATTTCAATGGACATATTATTAATTAAAAAAAATTTACTTTTACAACCGTTGAAGGCTCTCTGTATAAATTTCGTATTCGTAATCGTACTCTATTTTACTCTGTTATTTAAAAAAAATGTTATCTTATCGATAGGCCCATCGCACTATATTTGTGAAAAAAATCGCATTGAAAGGACTAGTTTAAAAAATAGTTGCGGCCTTACAATTATTTTGTACGGAAGTATTAATATTTCATTTTATTTTCTTTCACAACAACGACATCGTCGTGAAACTCTGGACGGAAATCATGTAGTACGCTCCGTATAATGAGTGGGTGGAGATTCGGAAAAGCGTGAAAAAGTTTAAGGTAGAAAATGCGAGCTTACAAGTGGAAAAACAATTTTCGCCGTTTAACAACAGCCCCAAGATATACAATACACGCGTGCGTCCGTGTGCGTGTGTAACATAAAGGATATTATGGTGGTAGTTCTCTCGTTTTTAATTTTGGTTTTTGTGTCTTTTCGTTTATTTGGTCGAGTGGCTTACAAAAAAAAAAAAAAATGAAACGGAATCTAAAACACCGGTGAACTTAGTAGGAAAAACGTTACCAAAAACCTCCAGGCGAAGATGGAGTGAAAAAAACGAAAAGATCATTTTATTAATATTGGGGAGGCACGCCTTCAAAAGATATACGATAACCTTGTATTATTTGTATTACATATGGGCCGGTGCGCGCGTATGTGTTCCCGAGTGTGTTTGATATCAAACAGCTTTTAAGTATACATTATTGTTACTTACATTGCACGACGTACGCTCCCAGCTCAGCCATCAGTTCTTGGGTGACAGGTACACGACCTTGAAGTATATCCTGTTTGAGTTGCAGGAAAAACTGATACCTGGAACAACGCATGCGTTTATACAATAACACGTATAATATGATATGTGTAACTTTTACACGTTTAAATATGACACGGGAAAATAAAACTACGATAAGCACCGCTCTCTCATCGACCGAGCAGCTCTACTAACAACGTTGTTCGAAAATCGATTTAATAGGGTAAGAATAACGACCGCGGAACGCGATCGGAGGAGTCACACGATTCGCTCGGGGGACCGCGTTAGATATTTGATTATTCTTTTTATCGCAATCACAACGACAGAAGTATATAAAAGTACAACGTACAATAGTAAACCCCATCAATGACACACGCATACAGATGTCCTCCAAAATATATCGTATCCATTGGCGGCCATATCTCCTGAGATAATGATGACAGTCGAACTCGAACTTATTAGGGCGTTATCCTACGGGAAACGGCGGCTATCTTATAGCGTATTTCGACGAGAACAATAAAAAAAAAAAAGGGTAAACGTTTTTTACCGGAGCACGTAAACCCAATGCGAACACGGACGTCGTCCGTACTCCTCGTCGTCGGGAGTCTGTCGCAGACGCAACGAAAGATCGACATGAACAGTACATACGCTGATACCTCAACAATGCTTGAACTATTCACGTTGAACGCGTAGGAATATTTTTTCTAATCGTAAAACGATACAAAATTATTTTCGCGTTTTTTCGACGGCTACCGTGGTACCGTGGGCTACTAGTTGAATTCCGACAGCGATAGCTTCTATCCTACGTTTTGAAATCTTATCCTGTGTTTTCGTATATCCAAGGGGAGGGGGGCGAAAGGCCCTGTCGCGCGTGTCGATAATCGTTTCCGGTCACGCGTCGCAACGTGTTTTTCGACACCGAACGCAGTCGCGACCGCCGCGCACCGTCCGACGGGAAAACGATTACCGGACCACGGGACCGCCGCCGCTCGAAATTTTCCGACGGTGTTATTATCGTGTCGTCGTCGAGGGCGTTTCGCGCGCGGTCGGACGGGTAAAATTAAAATAAAAACCCGAATATCCCACGCTACCTACCGAATGCCTTCGCGCGCGCGGCAATTAACCGCACGGCACCGCGCGGTAATCGTTTTACACGCATTCGGTGCACGATAACCGCCAACCGGTAGCTGCCGTTCACGGGGCGGACGCGAAACGTCCGTTCGAATGTCGCGCGCGCGTTACGTACACACAGGGGGTGGGAGAAACGAGTTCTCGGCTGTTATGAAAATCAAAACGCGTCCGGCGGCGTAGACGTTTACCCGAAAATTACGATGTTAAACGCCGCGAAACGCGTCGTCCGCTTTTCCGTGCGGCGGCGACATATGTATTCGACTGCCGTATTCGAAACGCACGTTTTTTAACGCACGGTTCATCCAGTGTTACACGCGATACGTCGTCTACGTACGGTTTTTTTTTTTTATACAGTTTAACCGGGGGGGGGGGGGGGGGGGACTTTTAATTAATTTTCACCTCTCGCGCAGCGGTGTCCGCTATGCGATTTTCAATTAAGAACGTCGCGCTTTGTTTCGGTGTTAATGCGAAACGAGTACGTTTTCACTTCAACGCGTGCACACGTTAAAATCTCGGCGCGCTCGTTTGTCGACTTTGGCATTAAAAATGCATTTTTCGTACCGTACGGATATGCCGAGCACGGTGATAAGCTATAACAGTATGCTGTTTAGCGATCAAAAGTCATGTGAAAAAAAAATACCAACCCCTTCACACAGTTCGCGTTGTATTGTTCAAAAAATTAAGTACAAGGTTTTTCTCGAATTCGAAAATAAAAAAATTATTATTACTACTTTACGGAATGCATATACGAAACATAGGAATTCGTACACACTGTATGCAGAATCATCGAACTGTAATTCTGTTATTCCAGTATTAAATTGAAAATTTCATCGAAAGGGATAAAAGTAGAATCACCGGGAATGAAATATCTGTGAAATTATAACATATCAACGAGATTTATAATTGTAATATGTTGGTATTCAAACATATCATAAGCTTCAAAAATAGTGAACATTTCAAATTCGAATAACTGCATCATTTAAATAAAAAAATTCAACCGTTTCGAATTCGGGAAAAACACTTTAATAAAAGCAAAAAATATGAAAACCCGTGAAATTATTGTTCATTTATCTAAAGTAAAATAATCTAAAAGAATCTAATCTATAAAAATAAAACCAATCCAAATTTCCAGAAGTGCAATGAATAAACACATGCAAGGCTAAATTATAATGCATGATGCTAAAAATATAGAGAATATTCGATAAGAAAAAAAAGTTGTTAAGTTTAAATTTAATAAGAATAAAATGTTGAATTTCACTTTTTATTTAATATCAACAAACACATTCTGTAGGGTCCTTTAATATTTTATAACAATACTTATTTATCTCACAAGATTTTCATAAATTAAATTCATAATTATATGTGTATTAATATTTTATACTTGTCGTATAAAATACAATGCGTTATGAACTTTTAAGCAGAAAAAATAATTTCATTCAGACGGATAAATACTGTGTACTTAAAAATTTAAACGAGACATTCACCAGGCTCATCGATATCTAAGTTAAATAAAATTCGTCGACCATACATTATAATAACGGTTCGGATGAGATTCGATCATATTTTCGTATGAAAATATGAAAATCCGTTTAAACACTCAGTTAATAAAAATAAATATTTATACAAGGAGTATGTAAAACGTCTCTATTAAACGTACTTGGATAAATACATATTTCAGTATAATATGGCGACCTATTTGAATATACAAATTCTGCAAAAACACTTTTTATACATCCTAATAAATGACTGCAATAATAATACAGTAACACTAAAAGCAAAAAAACTGTATTTTTCCATATTGTTTTGTTGTTGATTTTTTTTTAATACAAAAACTGATGTTTTACCTACGAACAATATGAGGAGAGAGTACTCGATTAACCCTTTGTATGGAAATTTATAGCTGCTGTGGGAGATCTGAGAGTGCTCCATTAGGCGCATTGCACAAAATGAAATTGGCGAAAAAAGAAGAGAGACGAAATATGTGGTCACGACGATGATGTAGATAATAATAATAATAAAAGCAGGATGCTACATTGTAATAATGCATTCGTGTCATCCGTCGGTCGGACGTAAATGGTCATATTAAGAATTGAAGTCAACTTAGAGGCGGCAATCTCCACCGAATTACTGGGCGATGAAACGTGCAGATAAACACAGTACGCAAATAATAAAATATATTACGCGCAACGTGGAATCATTTTATTTATTTTTTTCGTTTCGCTTTCGAAGTCGTTGAACAATTATGAAAAATAAAAACGTTCACGCCACCGTACTGTACAAAGCGAAACTCAATACGAATATAATGATTTTTGCACGTAATAAATAAATACAATCGAATAGGTATGTATTCCGAATAATATTACATCGTACGTATAAATAAGATGCGTGAGAGAAAAACAAGACTACGTGTAACAATCGTAGACATCGTAATAACGTACACATGCCGTCCGTCAACGCGTTTATGTATCATTCGATCACGATTTCACAGTCGATTATTGTTCAACTGTACGGCTTTTGCACGCACACAGACGTATAATTAATAACTAAATCACTCGTCCAATCAAGTTCTCCGACAAACGAATCGCGTGTTAATAGCTTAAACATAATTGTGTTTCGCCGCGACAGACATAAAATATTATATATATTTATATATTGTGTTACGCAACAACACGTACAGCTATTATTATTTTGCTCCAGTTTTGCGACTTTCTCAGCGAAGTATGATGTATAATAATAATGGTGCATACGAGTATGAGTATATATAAAACTGGTGAGTTTGTGCAATCCGAGACAATTCACGGGTTGTCCCACGAGGATTTCCTAATTGCAGTGATATCTCCTGTGTCAAGAAATATAATCAAATTTGAAGTTTTTCTTCTAAGAAATCACTTGACAAAAGCCAATAAAATATTTATTTTTTTTTCTAGTTTTAAATAATAGATTTTTAAAAAATATTTTCTTTTTCTAGCAATTTCGCTGAACGCACAAATGTTAACACAGATTGTTAAAATCAAATATGATACTAATAATAGACTTGAACGTTCAGTTAAAATACGAAAAAAATTAGTACACGTATACACGTATATACGTATGATGAAACGAAAAAAGATTCAATGTTTGTTTCTGCCTAATCGGTTTCTTCGTAAACTGTTGTTTGAGAAACACTTATCATAGTATTTTAAAGCGAATACACAAATCGTACAGAACTTTAAAGTAGAATTCGTAACCAATAAACGTGGTATAGGGATGAAATGATAGTAGATTCGAGTACAAAATAACAGTGTTTGTTACAAAACGTGTGCCCTGCGATTGATCGTTGTTGACGAGAGCCGTCTACCCGCGGTGATCCCTGCTGCAAGGTAACTTTAGACTGTTCCCGAACTAGAATTCGGTAGAAACATATTTTGTGGGAGCGAAAAGCGGAACTTTTTTTTTTTTTGTAATTAATTTTCGCGAAAACGAATAACGCGTTGCCACCGGAGTTTTATCTAAAACGCGTGACGTCACGCGTCGCGTGCAATACAATCCGGGTACGAGCGTGTACAGTTCGCGCGCGGGAGTGTTTCGGCGAAGGAGATTTCCGGTGCGGTACGATCGAAGTGACGTTTTCTCGCACCCGAACGTGTATTTATATACACATAAAAACGTGTGTGTAACATGTTTCGAAATCGAAAAGCTTAACGCGTTACAACCGAAAGAAAGAGAGTGCGTTTGGCGGAATAGGAAACGGCGAATCGATCAAAAACCCATTTTGCCCGGCTCGGTGACGTTTTCGTCCGGCGATCGCGAGATGGCGTGTCCAAACGACGGGCGTGTGCTCGCGCGCGGTCGTCTATCCTACCGGTTTCGACCGAGAAAGTCCATTAGTCCGTCGATCCGTTTCCGGCACGCAAGCGCCCGGTACACCGGAAAGTTACGCCGGTACGAGTGC